AAGACTAGCTGTGCAAAGGGGTTCACAAGGTTACCCACACTGAACAGTAAGTGCAGAGCCCACAGGGCTGTAAAAATGCTCTTAAACTTGAGAACGAGAGAAACACACAGACAACAGACAGAAACACGTAAAAGACGATAGTTGTCTGAAGAAACTATGAAGCATCATAACTAAACAAAATCATTTTAATCTTCTAAAATAAAAACCTCTTTAATAACACTAAAATAACGATTTGGGCTTCTAGAACATTTTTCAAATTATGATCTCAGGCAGCTTGCAAATATTAGCAGTTGATTGTTTATTTTATTTGTTCCTCCACTACAGTCAGTACTCACACATTTCATTAAGGTCTTTTAAGGCTGAAAATTACTAGTTAAGAAGATTATGCTCTCAATAGCTTTAATACAGTTTATTAACTATTAGAACATCTTTTCTAAAGTCCGTCTAATGCCTGTTCATAATTTTCTGATAATGATCCTTGTTTTCTACTCTTACAACTTCTTTGCACGTGTCCTGTATTTGGCACGTTTTTAGCCCTCCCTCCTTTACCTGAACCACTCATTTGCATTGTTTCATATTGTTGTGTGCTCTAAATCACTGCTCTCTTTGGCTCTACAGTTTTTTCTTTCATCCTATTTTTAGGTAATTGCTTCCTATGTTTTTAATCTAGACTTCATTTCTTCTCTCTACTCATTAGGAGCACAAAGGTCAACTCAAAGGTACTAAATTATGCTCTTTTGAAGCATACCTAAGGAAAAGGATTTTAAGTGATGAGCAAACACTGTCCAAAGCACTGCCAAGATAGCTCTGAACATGCACAATTTAATGCAAAATGCACAATCCATACCAGTTTTGTACAAGGAAGTCAACCAGATGGAGAGAGGTTTGGTCAGCAGTCCGGACTGCTAAATGAAGTGCTGTTTCACCTGGCTCCTAAACACATGTAAATAGAAGTTAGATTTGTGTGTCTTATTTCTGCAAAGCTTGTAATATCAGACCCACTAAGATACATACCATTCACTCATTTACAACAGAAAAATATTATTAGGAAATTATGATGAAAACAGTTATAGCCTCTCTTATCTCTACAGGACACCATGTGCTTCAAAGGAAATAGCATCACACTTTCTGAGATCACAGCTTTCTCAAACCCAGTTTTCCCTTTTCTCAGCTGGATGGAAGAATCCTGAGGAGCCTTTAACTATTTTAGCTACTAGTAACTAATAGAGATCCTGTCACACAATACTGGGTGAGTTTACAGTACTTGTTGCTTGATGACACCTTGGTGAGCACTAAGCATAGCCATGACACTATTTCCTACAAAACCAGGGAAAAAAACCACAAAAATCATAGCCCACATACATTAAATCTCTTACAGGCTCACAGAACAGCCTGAAGTTGGAACTGACCCATGGAGGTCATCTGGTGTGACCTCCCTGCCCAAGCAGGGCCACCTAGAACCAGTTGTGCAGGACCATGCCCAGATGGCTTTGGAATATCTCCAAGGACTCCATAACCTCCCTGGGCATCCTGTGCCAGTGTTTGGTCATTCCTGCAATACCAAAATGTTTCCTGATGTTCAGAAGGGACCTCCTGTGCTACAGTCTGTGCCCACTGCCTCTGGTCACCACTGAAAAAGAGCCTGGCTCCATCTTCTTTGCACCCTCCCTGATGAGATTCCCCCTGAGTCTTCTCTGAGCACAACAGTCCCAGATCTCTCAGCCTTTCTTCATGTCAGGTGCTCCAGACTCTTACACGTGTTTGTGGCCCTGCATTGCACTCTCTCCAGTATGTCCAAGTCTGTTGTGCTGGGGAGCACAGAGCTGGACACAGCACTTTCAGCTGTGGCCTCAGCAGTGTTTAGCAGAGGGAAGGACCACTGCCCTCGCCCTGCTGGCAATGCTGCCTGGGATACCACTGGGCACCTCTGCCACTAGGGCCCACTCCTGGCTCATGTGCCCACCAGGACCCCCAGGTCTTTTTAGGCTGAGCTTCTTTCCAGCTGGTGATGCCCAGCATATATTGGTGCATGGGGTGGTTCCTCACAGATAAAGTGTTTGTCCGTGTTGAACTTAAACTGAGTCATATTTGATTTTCTATACATTTAATACATGCATCAAGGCATTTAAAGAGAAGTAGAAATGCTGTTTAATTCATTAACTCCTATTGATTCAGAAAGGACTTTTTAAAAACACATTAGAGTACATAAAATTAAAATCAGAATTTTTTAAAAAAGTGACTTCATTAAACATCAGAGAACTTACAGTGGAGAATGCTGCTATAAATGTCCTAACTTCAAGACTACATTTCAATTGGTGCTCATTCCTTTCTAGGTATCACTGCCTGTAGCAGCTGAGAATCACTAAGGAGCTAATTCTGTGGTAACTGCTGTGGAGGACAAATACAGAAAGCTTATCTTGCAGTTGGAGAATCTGTCATGTGTTTCCATGATAAGCACTGTGATAGCTCTAACTGCTGGGACTACGTTGAACTTATCCCCTTCACTCAATGCAGACAGGCACTGTGTCCTTTGCCAAGTTAGCTATTGCACAGAACTTGCTGAAAACATTCTCTGACATCTCTCCAGGTTGGGTTTATAAGTAATGGGAGAAAACATTGCTGAGCAAGTGATTACACAGCATTGATTACCTATAAAAACAGGCTATTTTGCTCATGAGCAACATTTCTCCACGGATAATTGAGGTCAACTTGGACTGATTTTTTGAAAAAAATTTCAGAAGGAAGATCAAGTATTCAAAACCTTATTCAAAAAAATAATCTCTTCCTGATTGAAAAAAATTGCACTAAATGTTTCATCAGAAGCCGTGAAGGTATCAGATTTATTTATTCCTCATCTACAGCAAACAGAGACTTGTGGACAGTCAATACTATGTTCCTTCAGCAACTATTTTATAAGAAGGTATGATACTGTCTGTGATGTCAGGTCACCTGGCTAACAAGTCAAGTCCTCTTTCTCTAGGCCTTTTCCTAAAAGAGACACTGCAGAACAGATGCTTTTCTGCACATTATAGCTGCACCAAGAACTGTGTATTACACCACCATTGCACTGCACACTCCTTTAGACCAACTGATGAGAAAAGATAAAGAGTTCTTTTCCCTCCCCACAACGATGCCACATTAAGGAAATGAAAAAACACCATTTTCATCTGCTATTTCCCTTGTTCCATTATGTAAGGTAGCAGCCCTTGGTCCTGGGCATGTTACAAACACACATTATTTAAAATACTCTCTGTTTACCTGATAAGCTTACCTGTCCAGGCTCCAACAGTGGCTCCATTAGCTCTACCCCCTCTGCATAGACTTGAATTAGTGCAAGTAAATCCCTGGATTTGACAGCCTCAAGTAATTCACTCAGTTTAGCTGCTGCAGAAGCACAAGTCTTCCTAGAGAACTTATGATCTACATACTTAGCAGTGATAAATTCTTTACGTGCAGTCCTGTGGGGTGTGAAAATAGAGCTTGCTTTAGAAATTTTTAGAAAAATGGGTCAATGATTTTAATTTAAAATCACCTTGTCTAACGCAAGAGTTGAGAAGGGAAGAGGAAAACTAAGTGATAACAAGTGTGTTATTTACTGATCTACTGCAAGTCTTCCTTGCAAACAAGAAATACAGTGCATTGCCAATTTTATCCTGTCCTCTTGTTATAGATGAAAATTACTCTGACTCTGGGGATTAAGACCAAAGAAAAGGCAGAGATAGTACCATTTAGCCTGTGTTTAGCACCTGAGGGTATACTCAATACTCAAAACCATTCAAGATTCAAATAATGAATCTTGAAACCCAAACTTAGTTTTCTACACCAAGAAGCTGAGGCAGCTAAAATATGGCTATGTGATGAGAGACTGAACTTCTAACAAACTCCACAGTTGGAGTAAAAACCCCCAGACTTCTCTCATCCTCTGGCTTGGTTACTGTTTAGGACACTTAACATCACATATATATTGCACAGTAAATTTAAAGAATTCAGAGATTCAAAACTTACATATCACTTGATGGATTGGGTTTAGGTGAAGGACTAGGTAAATTCCCTTCCATAATATCATTAAAACTAGTATTTCCTACATTCTTGGCCAGCTGCAATAAGAAAAAGAATAAATGAGGGTGGGGGTTTTGGGGGTCTAACAGCAACCTAAAACTAATAAAAGATGGAACTGTAAAATTAAAGCACAGTGATTCCACATAAATATAGAGCAATTAAAAAGATTTTTTAAAAAGTGTAAATCCTATCATTCCAGAACTTGTACAACAGACTTCACAGTCACAGCTAACTATTTGTCCTTCAAGGCAATCCGACTCCAACACAAAACCACAATGAGTAACCAGCAACATGAATCCTGATGCAGTGCTACTACACTGATCAGAAAGCTACTTTGGGAAAGAAGCTCAGACCTACTGAAGGTAATGCTTAGTAAAGTTTGACTTAAATTAACGGTAACTTTGCAAACAACTTAATATTTCAGAAAGAGAGCTAGTGCTAATGTCAAACCTATACCCAAATCCAAAACTGCCTTCTATCTTCTCTCAATTTTCCCACACAAAATTTCCATAACAAGTGCCACAGCTAGGGAGATAAACCTGTTGCAACTGTTTGTTTTTTCTTTGCTTATAATTTTCTTTGGTTTTTTTTCAGTAGTCTCACATCGAATTCCTTTCGTACTTTTAATATTGAAGTGTCTCTTTCATCAAATTAAAAGATTCATCCAACATTTTTTGTCAAAATTAGCAACAGTCATTCTCACTTGCCAAGTTAAATTAGCTTTCATTTTTTAAATCACAGGAGATTTTAGACTGCCCTGATTTAGGGTCAAGATCATCTACTGAAAGGCAAAATTCTGATGGCACTAATCACAATGAATGTTAATACTTATTCTGCCAAACTTCAGGAAATGAACATGATAAGTGGAAAGTCATCAAAAGCCTCAATAAAATGTGATATTATATAATATACAATGATATATCTCAATGCTTCCTATATATAGGTCAACATTTGACTAAAAAATATAAATAATCCAGATTAAAGAAATTTACCAAGAGTTCAGACGTTCCTAATTTGTCTAATTCCAAAGATTGGATTCGAGAAATATGCACACCCATTTCTCTGTGTATTCCAGAACACTCAATGCAGGTTAAAATGCCCAAATTAGTTGATAGCCATGTTGGATCTGTAGAATTGAAAAACAAAGTATTCAATTAAAGTACAAGAAAGGTTTTCAATGGTGGTAAGAAATCCAAACGTATTCTGAAATTATTCCTCATTTAATGTTTTAAAGAATGGAAATAAACTAAGAACATTCCATACTTTTCTCCAAACTGCAGCGCAAATTTAACCACAAATTGCTACCAGTGGAATTAAGCTTTTCAGATTTAGGGACAGTCCCAAAGGCACTGAATTTAGACGTACAAATTCATTCTGAATCAATGTATTTCAATACATTTAGGACTCTTTCCTGTACAAATAACGTATGGCTTTTATTTCCTGTTTTTAAAAGGAACAGATCTCCTAAATTCGACAAAATATGAAGCTTGAAAATTTACTTCTTAAACTTTAAATAGTCCTTCATAAAACATTAACCACAGCATTTTCCAGTATGCAAAATAGTAGTATGTTGCAGAAAATTTACAGAATGCTTGGTAGTCCAGGAACAAAAAGAAAAATTAAAAAATAATTGCTGTCATGGGGAGATCTGTATGTAATATTAGAATAGATCTTATACTATGAATGCTACATAAGAAGCATGACCAGTTTTTAAGGAAAAAGGAAAGCTCCAGACATCCTTCATACACAGACATGTCTTCAAATCAATCTCTTCCTTGACCTTAAATAGTAACTGCTGAAGCATTAAGAGTTTTAAAGCAGCAAGCTGAGGTGCAGGAGCAAAGCTTAAAACTTCACTATAAATTAAAAAATGAATGAGAAGCTTTAGCTTTACATAATGAAATAACTAACCAATTCCCTTAAAACTTCACTATAAATTAAAAAATGAATGAGAAGCTTTAGCTTTACATAATGAAATAACTGAAATAACTGAATTCCAAGACTGGACATAATTACTATGTGCTTTGCAATTTTATCTAATGATTTCTGCATCAGCAAGCATCTGCAAGATACATACTACCTACTCAGTTCCAAATGAGCATCACCTTCCTGAAGCATCTCTCTAGATGAGAGAGCTGCAAGAGCTGCCAACTACCACACCGACTCACTCACACTGGGACAAGTTGCTCAAGCTGCAAGTGACACCTAACTGACCTGTAACTCTGTACTTCTGAAGATATTATCTGTCAGGATTCCAACTCTGGGTCTCATTCTTTGCACAAGACTACTTATTCCACCTCAGAATACTTCTGATACTGCAATTCCAGTAGTCTCACGCCAAGATAAAACCTCAGAGCAAGATCCTGCCCAGGTCAATTTTTCCACAATCATTGTCTAAATATTACTCACTTCTACTTAGTAGCATGCACAGGATCAGTGATGCCAAGCAACTTCCATTCAAGTGCAACAAGCATCTAGACACAGTGCAACAAGAACAGTTCAAACTCCAGAGGGGCTTGAACTGCTGGAAGTAAGCACAGACAACACACAAAAATATTTTAGTGAATTAAATGGAACTAATGCAGGAAAGTCATATTTGTTCTTTTAAAAACAGGTTGAAAACTCAGAAACACACATCACTTCGAAAACTAGTTTGCACTCTACAAACACTTCTTTAAAGAAATTACTTTGCTCCCAACAAGAAGTTGATGACATGAACAAATTGAGATACCTGGTGAGCCACAATCACAACAGACTTCATTGCCGGGTAATCTCTGTATGTCATCAATAATGGCTTTTGTCAGATCCTCTAAACTGTTTTCCCCTGTGCTCTGATCTCCACGGAATGCCATATTTAATGCTTCTTCTTTGCTGTTAGTCAATACTGATATCCATCTAGCACAAGATAAAGACCTTAATGAAGATCTGCATTTGCAAATACAAGTTAATCTATAAACTGTAGAAAGCTTGCCAGGAACAAAATATTAGTGGGAAGACAGGGAAGGACTGTATTGTGGGAGAGACTGAGGAGTGGAGAAAGTGTGAGATGAGAAGGAAAATTTGGGGAAAAGTAAGTAAGAATGAGAAGAGACAAATAGTCTTAATTCTAACATCCCTTTGGTGAACAATCTTAAAGCCAAAGCAGTACAGTTCTCAGGTTTCTCAAGTAACAGAAGCTGTGGAAGAGAAAGGGTGTAATTAAGCTCCTGTAAACTTAATTGCTTTAAAAGCAGGTGCCAAAAATCTTCCTGAAGTCTATCCTGTTATTAAAGGAGAAAATTATAACCCCTAGTTTCTCCAGTGTGCATCCTTCTCTTCACAGAGGAAACAGCAAGCACCTTTTCAAATGTGTTGATGCCTAGTTGCCTTTTAAAATGCAGGTCTCTGTGCACTAATCAGAGTCAGACTGTAATGCTCAAATTAATGACAATTGCCATGGCAACCAATGGGGTAAAGAACAGAAATGACAGGAGAGTAATGATATTGATAGCCAACATAAAATTTTAAGAGCAACTGTTGACTGCAACAAATCAAGACTCTTTAATGGTATTTCAAGCACTAGGTCCCCACCCCCTGCCCCACACCACTCTGCGAGTTGCTGTTTACAAAATAATATTTTAATTAAAACCAAACAAAAGCCCCTCTCAGTAGCTGCAAGGTGCAAGTAAAGAGGGGAAAGCAGGTATACTGAGGACAAGCACATTGCAGATGGAGCACTGCCAACTTAGGAAAAGAGCAAGTTAAAAGAAAATCCTCTCAGGTATAGTGATTTTAGATCAGCTGCAAATAGACATTTATTTATTGTACAGAAATGTCTTCAACTGGCAGTGTCCATAATGAATTTCATGTTTACAATTGTCTGCAATCATCAGTCTTCTGAAGTGTGCTACAATTGTTATGGTCACCTAAACAAACATTGATTGAAATTCATAATTTCTCCCTGAAATAATAATGCAAAGATGAACTAAAGGATTTCAGAAGGAAATTTATGTACGTAACCTTGCAATACAGATTCAAAGTCTGAACTAGTATATGGGCACTGTATATTATATACCTCAGACACACACATTTTAAATTTTTTTATAGGTTGAAAATAATCTGGGAACTTGCACTTAACAGAAAATGCTTTAAAATCACTCTTAAAAATAAGAGAAACTGAAAAACTTGAAAACGAATTTGCTCCATAGTTTACATGCTGGAAACAATAAATCTGCATTAATCTCTCTCATTGCATGGTAAGAACCCACACTAGATGGCATTCTTCTGCAATTTTTCTGATGCAATCCAATGTTCTTAAAAAAATAGGAGGCAGCAGTGTCTTGCTTGGGTTATTATAGCAATGTTTGGTTAAACACAGAGTAAAGTAATAATTAAACTCAGAAAACATTTATTCTGACATTTGTTCATGATTTCTTTCAGGGTTACAATTTGATTAGTTTGTTAAAAAGGCAGAATTTGAATAAAACTCAACTAGGCAGTCACAATTAAAAATTATTAGATGCAATTGAAATAAACACAACACGACTGAGCCAGCTGTTAGTTTGATATAGATTTCCATATTACAAGGATCTAAACTGTCAGAGCAGTCATTTATTTTGGTTGCATGTGCTCAGCTAGAAGGACCCTGCATGTCACTGGTGTCACCTGTGAGTCAGAACAAGAGGCAGTGCAGTGTCAGCTCCCCCAGACACAGCCCAGGTAGCACAAGCACGAGGAGACACACTCTGAATGACACTGCTGTTTATACAAGGAGTGCCCAGCTGCTCACCAGGCCTTCCTGGCAGGCTGTGCACTCAAAAATAAACAATTCCAATCACTAAATACACTATGCTAATTCAATGTCAATAGTTTATAAAACTGCCTTCTGACTGTTGCTCTTCCTCCTTCTCTTCTCTGTATTAGTCTTTTTTTAACTTCCTTTATACAAAAATGTGTTTGCTTTATCTCACAATTCCACCAGTGCCAAACTAACAGTCAAAAAGCTTCTGGGAATGCTTTGTAGTGTTCTTTCAAATGATTTAAAAAATCAATCGAGTCTTAGAGTATTGCTTTGCCTTCTTCTTCTAGGGCAAGAGCAAATGACCTCAAGCTGTGCCAGGGGAGGTTTAGAATGGATACTAGGAAACATTTCTTCACAAAAATTGGATTGTCAACACTAGAACAGGCTGCCCAGGGACGTGGTGGGGCCACCACTCCTAGAGGTATTTAAAAGATGTGTAGATGTGGCACTTGGGGATATGGTTAGTGGAGGGCTTGGCAATGTCTGATCATTGATTGGACTGGAGGCTATTAAAGGTCTTTCCCAAGCTGAAGGATTCTATGATTCTATTCTACCTAATACAATAAAACAGGTTGTCCAACCGTGTACCAAACCTGCTTTCCTAGATCTCAGCAGTTTCTTACAAGCCATTAAGGAATTTTGTTGGCTGGAGATTCCCAGTTTTGAAGAAACTCACAAGGCTAAACAAAAATCTGGCATTGTGAATGCCTTCAGGAAATAGAAGAAATTTTTTAATCTTGGATGGACCAGACTGCCACTGGGATTCCTCTTATTTTTCTTCAGTATTTCCAAGCTAATAAAAAACCCTTCCCTGAGAACAACAACCAGTCTAATAGGGTTCGGTTTCTTTTGTTTACAATAGAAACTTATCTCTGTTTCTTCTGACAATTGCTATTGCAACATTGCTGTTTCCAGGTAAATGCATAAACAGAACAAGAATAGCAATAGTATTTTTCAAATCATCATAGAATTTAGGGGTTGGAACGGACCTTACAAATCATCTAGTCCCAACCCCCTCTGTCATGGGCAGGAACACCTCCTCACTAGATCAGGATGCTCAAGGCCTCATCCAGCCTGGCCTTGAACACCACCAGGGTTGGGGCAGCCACCACATCCCTAAGCAGCCTGTTCCAGTGTCTCACCACCCTTACAGTAAAAAACGTTTTTCTCACATCCAGCCTAGACTTTCCTCCTTCAGTCTGAACCCATTACCCCTCAGAAATAACTTTTTTTCTATGGAAGAAGTAACAGATAGTATCAAAAACTTCTGACTCAGTGTTCCCAAAGTAAAAAATGCCTGAGAACTGTTACTAAAAACTAGACTCAAATTAAATATATGTTTCTTCATAGAAAAGTTTCTGAATCTAGCTTTGTTTATAATCCAGGTGTTCCCTGCCGATATGGGTATACCCTTGACCTTCAAAAAGAGGGTAGAAAAGAACTAAAAGGTCATGTCTGGAATATGTTTGTCCCTACCCACAATTATAAAAAAAATAAAAAGCAACTATTATTGTATATGTTTAAAAAAGTAAATCCAGTTACATTTCTTATAATCTTCATATAAATATATATATATACACATGCATCAACACACTGCCACATACCTCCTCCCCAAATACACTGTACTTTATCTACTAGAGAAATAATGCACTGAGAACTTACAGACCATCAAGCAGTAATTAAAGGCCAACAGAGAGTTGCCTGGATAAAGCCCAAGAAATGCACTGGCCTGAGGGAAATGTTTGAAGGGAAATAATAAACCTGGATCTAGAATGTAGGCTTCAGTGGTTTGTGTTTCAAACCATCTGCCTTTTAAAATTACTATTATTTTTAAGTAGTTTGAGGAGCTATTTATGGAAGCAATGTAAAACGATCACTAGGAAAATGTATGCAAGGTCAGATAAACTTGAGTATAAAGATATGAATCTTGCTTTTTTCTCTGCTTAGATGTGAGTCTGTAAGGAAAGTGATTTCAAAACCTATTTATGCATTTATTTTTCAACTGGTGCACAAAGTAAAAAGGACAAAACAGAGGTGGCACTAAAACTGGGTGGACAAAATGCAAGATGGAGAGGAAAGGATCAAGAGAGAGGCACACATATACAACTCAGGTGGAAACTGGAACAAGATGATGACAACTCTGAGGAGCTACATCACTCAGTTCCTGCAGAACACTCTTAAATCACCAGGGTTGGAAGTCAAAGGCTGCTCTTTGCATGACACCTTAGATGATAAAACTATTTAGGGCCTACTCAGTGGCTGCACAAGAAAAAAAGGTATTTGGTTATGCTGTAGTTTTTCATTAATACATTTACAGTCATTCTGATTCCTCCATGGGCACAGTGGAACGAGAGGTGCTGATCTCCTCTCTCTGGAGACAGCCATAGGGCATGAGGAAATGGAATGGAGCTGCATCTGGGGACATTCAGATTGGACATCAGGAAAACGTTCCTCATTGGGAGAGGGTGGCTGGTCCCTGGAACAGGCTCCCCAGGGAAGTGGTCAGGGTAAGAACTCTGTGAGTGTTCAAGGAGCGTCTGGATGACGCTCTTAGTCACATGGTTCAGTTGTAGGCACTCCTGTGAGGAGCATGGAGCTGGACTCAATGATCCTTATCAGTCTCTTCTAACTTGAGATATTCTAGGATTCTGTATTCCAGTACAAGTCATTTTCTCAGCCACTGCACTTTAGAGTGATAAACGAGACTTCAGTGCTTCTAATGGGAAATAAAACCAGCCTGGAATGTCAAAACAGTCCAACAAGCAGCCAGCTAAACTCAATTTATTTACCTGCCAATCAGAAGAAATATGCTATTAACGTATTTTCCCCCTACCTTGCTCATGCATTAAGACAAAAAAAACCCCAAACAACAAAAAACTTCCAAATAAACCACTCCACCTTTTAAACCAACAAATATAGCAAAAACTAATTTATATAGCAGAGTCACAGAAACTTATGACTCATTGGAAATAACAGTATTTTCTTTCTGACTGGGAAAATTACTGGAATAATTAAGCTCCAGGATGAATGCAGTAATCATGACTAGCAAGTCAGCTTTGCATTTGTAAGAGCCAACATAAAGCTGTAGAAGTCTCTGGAAGGAAATAGCTGCACAACAAAGAATCCTCCACCCTTCCCATTTCCCCCATGCCTCCCAAGGCTGAGCTGTCAATGCCACTGCCTCCCAACGCCACCAAACGGGGGAAAAACCCTGCAAATATTCCCTGTACCTTTAAAATACATATGGAGCAACACAGTCTTCCATTAGAATACGGACACATAACGGAAGACTGACGCAGCCTGGAAGGCTCAGGCTTGCTGTCCTCTTCACTAGCAGCTTTATCCCTTGAACTGTCAAGTGATGAGCATTAGACAACATGCACAACACGTTTGGTGACACAGACAGCAATGTTCAGGAGATAAAAAACAGTGGTACATCAGGACAAGAAGTAGTTCTGATGCAGCAGAAAGCAAGATTGTTTTAAAGGGAAGAATCTGGCTGGAAACATGCATTAATGAAGCAAGTTCCTGGATTTGGAAGTACACAAATCTCAGAGATGTGCTTTGCTGTTTATTCCTAGGCCTACAATATAAAAGATGCATTGCCTGTAAATATTTTCTATGTCTTATACAGAGATCTTTTATCTATTTATAATTCTTAATTTAAAGGAAAAGGTAGGAGCAGGAGAAAAGAAGTAACTTCAAAATAGGGTTGACAGAGAAGAATGAAGAAGAATTTAAAGATATTTCACTTGAATGCTAATAATCTCATCTACTATATCATGCCAAGCAACTGCACATGAACCATGTGCTGGCAGGATACACCATCTAAATGGAGGTTTTGGTTAGTTTTTGGGGGGTTTAGGGATTGGATTTTTTTGTTACAAGGTTTTCAAAGAGCTGTGTAGCATGACACAAAATAGTTTACATTTACAGGTTGACAACAGCAGAAAAAAGAAACAGTAGGAACTACTTGTGCATTAACTGAGAAAACTACTTCATGTGATTTTATACACCTCTACTGGAAAAATAAACATGAAAAAATGTAAACATTCTTACGCTACGTATTCCTGTTCATCTTCTGCTTGAAAGTGGTATGTTCTGTTATCTGAAATAAATAAATACATCATTTCATTTGGCACATGATACATTTTAAAATATCTACATATTTGGTACTAAAACATATTTGGCAACTAAAGCCTTTAAGAGCAATTGCTCTTAACCAGCAACATGAATACCTTATGCATAGCTATGGAAAACAATTCTAAAACAACCAGAGAAGGATGAAACTGTGAATTTTGATTTACATCAAATGTAGGCATTTAAAGAGTCTTATGTTTAGAAATATTACAGAAAAATAAACATAGGGATCAAATTTTTGCCCTTTCAGAAGCCAAATCTGAAACATAAGTAGGAGAAAAGGGCAAAATGAATTTGTTCCTTTACATACTTTTCCCTCCATTTAGGTCAAGAAACCTTTTTTTACTACCCAAAGGATGCAATATGAACTGGTTAGTATCTCCCACATTCAAAGGTTTCATAGACTGTCCTTGTAAATTTGTTTCATGCTATGTATATAAAGTCTGAAAACAGTAAGTCAGCTCATCAACTTCAAAAGTGTTTTTACAACCAGACTGGATACAAACACCTGCTGTACAAGACCAAAATGGGAAGAAGGGAAATCACATGAGTTTAATGTTGAGAAGACAAGTCACTACCAATTTTAGACAAACAGAAGCAAACTTTTAAAGCAGGATAAGAGAACAAGGGAAATTGGTTCTCCTTGCCTTCTTCATACCCTCAAATAGCACTCAAAAAGCAGAATAGACAATGAAGATAAAAGAAGATGAAGCTGAAAGTCTTTCCCATTTCCTGGTGGATAAAGCTTACGCATGTTCCACTAAGCTGTTAAACATCTCTCTGGACTTAGGAGGAAAGCACATATGCTGCATTCCATGGCTTGTCACAAAGGAACAGCATTTATATCACACAAACACACAGAAAAGGTTCTATATTCATCTGTTCATTCAAATCATCTTCAAAACCTGAGGCTCTGAACACTCATGTCTAGATACAGACCTGAACTTTGAGCTCTAGCCTTATGTTTTACTCAAATTATCTTGCAATGACATCTCCAGAAATCCCACATAGTGCAAGATGGTACTAAAGATGCTACATACGTGATATTAGATCAAAGGACTTCTTATCTTCAGCATTTGGCTTCACCTGGCAGGTCAGTAAATTCAGTTTAGCTGGTTGCCTGTTGGACTAAAAAGAAAATTTATTTTACTTTAAAAATGTATTGATTTAGGATTATTTTCCTTTTCTGGGCAGTGGGCATGGATGATATTAATTTCAAGCATGGACATGCACATGTACACCCTGAAAACACTGGGGACGAGGATCACTTTGACTTGGTCTGCCAGAATGGACACATTGCTAAATATAAATGAAAAAAATCTTCATGCCAACTCTTCCTGACTATCTGAAAAGGATTAATGGAACAAACCTTAATTTACAATTTGCTAATATTGAAGTTTTGTACTGCATTTCATAAATAATGGTTAAATTATAATGCAGTTTTCCATTACAGCATGCCCGTATTCCAACTTTCCTCCCATTTGAAATAAAAGACAGAATCCTAAAACTTTAAAAGGGAAGTGGGAAGCTGATCTGGAGTTTCAGGACTTGGGATAAATACAGACTTTCTGCAAATATTTTACATTTTACAATATTCTGTGCTGTACTTAGGGTCACTTAAGACATGACAACTAAATATATGTTTGAAGTATTTTGGGTTTAAACAGGTAGTAAACTTTAGACACTGATGGCCATCAGTGGAATTTGGGGCAAAGAGTGAAAAAGGATGAGGAAATGGGACCAGCTCCTTTAGCAAGAGGAACTCCTGTTCTTTTGTTTCCAGCAAGTTTGTGTCACGCTGCCACAAAGCAGTTTCAGGACTGCCTTCACCATAATCATATTGTTGCTTCCTCATGATTTAGGATTTCTAGGAAGATACTTCACACAAACTCGCTGTGATCAAAATTTCTCAAAATTTCACACTTTTAGTTGAAAGCACTCAAAATATTAACACACTCACTCATCTGTCAGACTCCATCAATAATACCTCATATCAAATACTTCCCAAGTTTCCAAATTAAGTGTTTCAGGGATATAACATGACAATCCTACAAGCAAAACCAGCTGAAGCATTCACTGAGAAGTCTGTTCAATATATTTGCCATGTTCTTATCAAACGATTGATAAATGCATTTCAATATTAAATGAACTGTCCTAAGCCACAGTTCCTCAGAACTGCAACAGTCAGAAGCTGAAGTGACATCCTTTCTGTAAAATAAGATCAGCACCAAGGATAATGTTAATTTACTGTTTTCATATGAAAACATTAAAAGACTTACCGTTGCATGTGATATGGTAAGAATTCCATTTTTAACAGTGCACTTCCTTCTTTGCCATACTTTCCTTAACCTACATAAAAACACCAAGAACAACAATTCCAGTGACTAGACATAACTTCGAAACACGTTAACCCCATTAACATTTTGAGAAGATTAGTCTTAAACAGACACAGACAAAATTTTACTAAATACCTCACACCAAAAGTAACTTGGAGATTTGTGACAGGTCTTAACAACCTTTTAGAGACTTATAAAAACAAAAGGTTTCTTTTGACTATGACTATTTTTTACGTTTGCTTGTCATGTTTTTGTATTTGCCAATTCTGTGTTCAGATTCCAACTGTAAAACTCTTGAATATTTGTGGCGCATAACATACCCATCACTCTTCTTTAAAAGATAACCTTTCTTCTCACTGCCATATTCCTTATTCCCCTGAAGCTGATGCATACTATATCCTCCTTGTCTGCTCTGTGAATCCTGAAAAAGGGAAAACCAGAATTAATGTTTTCCTGATGTGCATGGTAAGTTTTCCTAACTCTTAATCCTATTTGATTTTTTATTCTCTACAACAACTTCACAAATTAATGCTTAAAACAAGGAGAGAGAACTCCTACTGCATGTTTTACAGTCATAGGAGAGTTTGCTTTTACATCATGTGATCTTGAACCAACTGCATGTTCAAGATTCGATTAATTCATTAGGTTTTTGAAGTACTGTATGGACACAAATACTCATCAAAATAAACTTTTAAAATACATATATTGAATATTGCATAATCTTATAATCAAAGAGCAAAAGGCTAAGAAAATTTCAAAAGGGAAGCAATAGAATACAGCATGCATATATATAGGAGCACATATATAAAAAAAGGCAAATGCTAATAATCACTATTTTCTTTTACCAAGTTAAAAATATGTATATAATTCATGAGTTTTAGTGAATGAAGTCAGCTGAAATAACTTTCGGCCTGATCTAGTTAAACAATTAAGAGAAATGGATTAACTTGTTATAAGCACATCAGAAAAAAAAAATTCCCCAAAAGTTCATTAAAACATTGACTTACTCTCCTAGACTTCGATCACGAAAGGCAAAAGCAATAGAGGAAAGAGAAAGCAAATAATTTAAAACAAGTATTATTATTTATTTAAAAAAACATGTTCTTTGAACATAAATTTTATAGCCCCCATATCTGTTAAAACAATGTTTCCCCTTTCTAATGACACCCGGAGAAAAAAGGCAAGAACTACTTTTTTAGGCACACTGGTGCTTTTTTTATCAACAAAACAAAATCCTGCACAACCTGGCACACATTACATTGGCTTCACAAAGCAACTAAAATGACTACAGGATCAAATTTGACTATGTGTCTTTCAGTCACTATCACCTTTAAATTGTCCAAAATGATACTGTATTCTATCCTCCACCAAACTGGAACTTATTCTGAATTTCCATTGAAGAAGATCAGGCTTAAAGTTGACTTTTAATTTTTGTAAATGTATATATAAAGGTATAATTAAGGACACAGTAACATGGTTTTAAATGTAGTTGTAAACAATAAGCTGACAACATTCCACCAAAAGAAAAATAAATAAAAACAAAGAACGGGATGTTCAATTACTCTTTTGGCAATAACCTTTCCTCTTTAGAGCACAGTTTCTTACTTTTACCACAACCAATATATATTGAAGATTCCTCCCTCCTATTTTACTCAGGGTCCTTACAACTGTTTTTCATTTTGTCCCCAGTTTGCCATAGGAGCTTAGGGAAAATTGCTTTGGTAAAACTGGCAGCTGTGGCTGGAAGCAGCACGAAGGTTGCTCTGTGCCATGTGCTGCCATCAACATAAGCAGCTCATTTGTTACAAGCAAATTCCAAATCCCCATTGGAATTAGGGTCCTATTGGCATTAGAATAGGAAAGAACATAATGAGATATAGTTCTATCAGATGGAGATTTGGGGAAATAAAGCAAAATGTAAAGAAGTACTTAACAAAACAGACACAAAACATGGTTCTAAAGACTAGCTATATTCAACTTAGAGCTGTTAGGTTATGTTTGTACCAATAATAATATATAAAACCAGGCAACAGAAGCCTATATTAAAGGCCTGGTTTCCTTTAGAATTTAAGCTTCTTAATATATAATCATTTTTCAACATACAAAATAAAATACTTAACACAATTAAAATGCCACTAATATTCATTTAAGTATCTTTTCTCCCAAACCATAAAACATAGTCATTTTCCAAAATCAGGGAATTCTTGCACAAAGTAAGAGAAACTGCCCTACCTTGGTACCAAGGCAGTACAGTAGTGGCCACAAGACACTGCATGTCACAGAGCCACAGTAAATGGCACTTCCCACAGTGAAGCTGTGGCACTAGCACTGCAGCACAGCCTGAGGCTCAAAGATGGCCAAGATGTGCCTTTCCAAGAGCCAGGCAGTGGCAGAGATTACAGTAATAGTTTTGTCAGTGATGAAAGGACAGGTATACCAGCAAAATGTGTAAGAGATGTCCATAATGCTCAATAAACACCTCGAATGCAACAGGAAGGCAGGAGTTGCATTATGAGATCTTGAAAGTGTTGGGAACAAAGTCAGCTCATTTTGTACATTAGTGGTTTTTCCTGCATGAAAGTCTGTGTACCAGAGAGTAATTTTTCCATCCATATTATTTCAAATTCAAGAAGATCTTAAATGCTCTAGTAGATTAAATAGCCATGCAGGAATCTCTTCGGTTGTCTGTGACAATAAGTCAGTCTGGGATGGATGGGATACCTCACTCCAAAGAAGTTAAAGGTGGCAGAACTTACAGTTTGGACAGGAATCATTAGTTTTAACTTCCTTCTCTTGAACAAAGGGTCAAAGAAACTTAAAACCACACACACAACCAGGGCCTCAGTTTAATTATTTCAAACTGTTTCCCTGACAAAGCAATGTTTGTTTAAGTGTACTTCTGAATATTTAAAAATCCCCTGGAGAAAATCCCAATCATTTCATGTTCTTCAATAATTCCATTAATCCATACATTATCCAATGGTGAGATTGCAATGCATTAATATAAAGAGAAAATGTATTCTTAATCACAATCAACCAGGCCATCTGTCACAGTAACAAAGCACAGCTTTAGGTACTTGAAGATTTGGATATACACAACGATGGAGACCTGACTGATGAAACTCAGGCCATATGTCTTCGAGTTTTGCTGTCTCTTAACCAAGGAGTAATGAAGGCCAACATGATGCCTCAGATTAAACACTGAATACCTAAATCACAGACATGGTTTTATCAAGCTCCTCAGTTATCTGCCAGCATCACTAAGCTCTGACTCACATGTAGCAGAATCACATGACTGAAAGTCCTCACACTGATTTTGAGAGAGACACTTGAACATCAATATCATCAAATGGTTATTTTATCCAAAATAGTGGATTCTTTCATGACAGCATTCCTCTCTCTCCCCCGATGATTTGCCTGGGTATCTGAGAATCACAATATTGCTCCCTTTCGTTTTAAGACACAATTTCAATTCTCTTCAAGCCAAACACTTTCTTTTATATTTACAACTTTATAGGCAGATGTGTTACATACACACATAGACACAGTTTTTCAAGAGTCCAAGAATTTATCTACACTGTAATTACAGTCAGCAAAGTTGCACAGTTTATTTTGGTGATGCCTGTGAAGCTGCTTTATTACAACACGTATTTATGTTTCAGAATTTGACTTGGTTTATGTCCATATTTCAGATGTGGTTACTTTTCAGTGAAGCACAAGAATTTTTACTACACTTCCAGGAAACCAAAAAAATACAAACTATTTCATTTGGTTTTCTATCTCATAATACTCTTATGAGTAACTTTTGAAACTTGACTTGTACCACATGCAGCCATGGAGGTACAACACACAGTACCAAGGAGCAACCAAGTTTGTTATACTTTATTGCTGAGAACTGGTTAATTACCAAGTAGGTTGAACTCAAGAACATACACAGCATCCAGGAGAAAAGGAGATATTTTTCTTCACTTCCCAGCTAATCATCTTGTAGAAGTAAAAGTCACATCAGGAGAGAGCACGTCTTGTTCCTTTGTGTGTTGGGAATCAACTCATAAAAACAATTTAGGATTTAAAGAACTTTCCAAATAGTTCTTGAAATCTAATGCTCTCTGTTCAACTTTCTGGAGTTGAGGATGAAGAATGAGCAGGAGTTGTGCCCAGAGTGATGTAGATACTAGGGAGATTACAAATGTCATGCATGTATGGGAAGCTCTGTAAGTGTTATGGAAGAGATCTAGCAGGTCCATGTACACATTGGAGATGAAAGGAAAAAACCCCAAAAGAAACAGAGCATTGGGAAACACTGTAAAGTATGAGATAAGGGAAAACTGAGTACCAGAAAGAGCTGGCAGGTTTTACAGTAAATTGGGACCTACTCAAAGGTGCTCTGTAGTGCTCCTGTTGGCATTTGGGACATGAAAGACATTTTAAAAACCATGTACAGTGTGTTTTAAGGTTGTGCTGTTCTTCAGAATGATGGAATTAGAGATGTAGGGAGAGGAAGAGTCTCCTGGTCATGGTTTGGCTGCTATATAATGTATACCTACACAACATAAGCACATATAGGCCAGTAATCAAAAGAAAAAAACAACACTCTTGTAAAAAAACCATGAAAATACTTAATTGCCTCCCTAATGTCCTATTCTTTAAGAAGTTCTGAAGAATTCCAGGAATGTAAAGATTAGTTAGCTTCACATTACATAAGGGAGATTCATTAAAACTACTTTTAAGAGCACATTTAGTATTGTATATACTGGAAAATCAGTGTAACTTTTGTGCAGAGAGGTTATGTCTCCAAAATTTCCTGGAGTTCTCTGAAAGAATCAGTAAGTAAATACACATGACTGATAGACTGTACCTGGACTGTAAATGGGCACCCACTGTTCCTTATGAGAGGGAAATCATTACATTGCTGCAGGACAAGAGGAAAAGTCCTCTGATGAACTAACAAGTTACAAGCAGGAAACAGACAAATAAGCTTCACAGAAAGCTGTGCCAACACATGTGGCATCTAACACAAACAGTTTGGAACAGGGTGAACAGTAAACTGTCGAAGTCTGATAGAAGGTATTAAATTATTCAGGATACCCAAGAAAGGGAGACAAGAATTTCTCAAGAACCTCATGATAGTGAGTAACTTGACAACAAATGACAGGTGAAGATCAGCATAAAAAAAGCCAAGTGATGCAGAGGGGAAGAGTAAAATACTGTGAGCTGACTATGAAGTTTCAGAAATAGGATGATATGGTTATAGCTTTAGAAATGATTGAACATTACACACCTGCTCTGCACTAAGCACTGGCTAAGATCTATACTAAGGCAAAAAAAAAATTATCAGAAATGATCTAGTGATGTTATCTAAATTCACATGCAATCACAGCCTGAGCAGGATATACAGACATAAAAGTTCAAAACAAATAAAACCAGAAAGAGTTTTCCACACAACATTCAGCCATAGTGGGAAAGACACAGATATAACATAAACTGATGGTTTACACTTTTTCAAAAAGCAACTGCACAAATTCAAAGAGAGGAAATCCATCGGGTGGTGGAGAGACTGCCAAGACAGTCAGGCTACTAATGGGAGGATATTCTGGGGAAGTATCAGTGTTTATGGCTCTGCATTTCACACTCAGTCTCTGTTACCCATTGGCGTCAGAAACTTGGCTGACTCAGTAATCCAGTTGCATATCATGTTCTTATGTATATTTGGTATTAGTAATACTGTCCAATCATATACCTGGATGATCACATATATTCAGCAGAATGGCATCTGAGCTAATGTTTAGTGATCATTTATATTTAATAACAGACAGCTGGCAAATATCAATGTCTTATTTACTAGAAAAAAACCAAAGAAAACTGAACAGAGGGTAAGCAAACTTTCCCTAAAGGAAAGCCACACCTATCCCCTTGACACTCAGTTTCACCATGGGATATTCAGTCTTGCTGACTCTTGGGCACTATGACTTGGAAAAGTCACAATATTATCTCAGGGAAAAGCTGTGATGTATATTATTAAGCTATCTCCTAGTTCAGGAAATATTCCAGAATATCTGAAATAGACATTGTATGTCCCTCCATTCATTTCTGATACTAGGGCAACTGATCATGTATTTTACTTTTTAACTGCCCAGTCTCAGCCACTGCTGTCTGATTAACAAACAAAAAGGGGGTTGGGAAGGAAAAATGCAGCACAAAATCCATGTGAGTTACCTGATGGCTAGTGTTATGCAAACCACAGCTAAAGGCAAGTCTAGTTCTTGTTCTCAGGATCACCTAGGTCAGGAAAATTCTGAGCACAAACTGGCTGGAGGATGGCAGAACACAAGACAAATGTATATCCCATCCCTTTATTTTTTTCCTGTGCAATCATTCTTTAACATGATCAAAGACAGGAAAAATTTATTTGATCCATTACAACTGTTGTTACACTACATTCAAAAAGTACATAAAAAGGAATAATTTCTTTCCATACATAAAATGGAAACAAAAAATTAATGTAAAAATATTGTTTGTTGGTAAGTAGGTGAACATTCTACATATTAGTTTTGTTATAATGTTCAAAGTCAAACACTTTTGAATGAATAACTACACAAATTGGACATTAATTAAACCAATTTGTGAATACAAAAGTCATAAATTTACATTATCTCTAAGAATAACATGTCTAAATTATTTACCTCCTTCTGATCAAGCTGCAGAGAAGATTTTATCAAATCACGGAGAGCAGTAAGTTGTTTCTTTTCTTCATCTTGTGTCTGCTTTATCTATGGAAAGAGATTACCATCATATGCTTGCTGGATGCAACTTTAATTTTAACTTCTTATGAATTTCAGTATATAATTTTAGATGTCCTGAACCACCACCTCAACTATTCTATGTTTCTGTAATAGCTGAGTGTATTTTGATGGTCCATTATCATGTGTTCACCTTCTATGCACAGACTAGACGAAAAGCAAGTTAAAATGAACATACAACTCCCTGTGCACTGTTTGTTCTGTTACACTTTAATAAGTCACTATATCTAATGCAACTAAATTAGCCTTTGAAATATCAATTAAATAACTCCAATAAACTTGACAGATGACTTAAGGAACGAAAATACAGTTTAATTTAGCACCAAATTACAATAGCAAATGGGATTATTGTAACTGATAATAGGATACAAAAGCACTTGGGTGACAAGTGAGCTTCGATTCCACATTATTACTTGTCTTCAATGAACATCACAAGTTAATTAATTTTAAAACAGGGGGGCTATAATTAAGCAATTTGATTTTAAGTACTGAAGATTGTGCCTAAAATTGATGATAATAATATAAGCAGATTCAAATATTCACACTTTAAAGTAGCTTTAATGCACCATTGAATTAGTAGTAGAATGAAAGCTACTTTTCCTAATTGCTGTAAAACCAAAGTTTAACATAGTAGAGATGTTTTTTCCTTGCCTAGTTATGTTCAGTTTCACAGAACACACTTTTCATTTCTAAGATGCAAATGCAATACAGACCCTTGTAGTTATATCTAAACTGTACTCATACAAACAAAACATTTCCATTTTCAGACATTAAGCTTCTTGCAAGTCAACTTACATTATACAAGTCAGCAGCCAACTTTTCAATATACTGCTTAAGTTTATCAGCTGTTTTCAAGCCATCTTGGAAGAAACTAGAATGAAAAATACCTGTGATTTATCAGGAATACATCTAATTCATAACACTAAATACATTGTCTTGTGGACAAAAAACAGCAAAAGCAATAAAACGTATCCAGTCCCTTCCGTGTTCAAAACCAAACAAATTAAAAAAAACCCCAAACAAACCACCTAAAAATACCCACAAAACCCCCACCTCTTCCCAGTAGTTTTAAATCTCCTCAGCAGTGGAGATATGCCATTGTGATTTTAACAAATATCAAGTTAGAGAGAATGTAGCTCAGCTCATTTTTATCACTGGTAGCCAACATGTTTCTCCCTTAGTAATTCCTAAAATCTTTTTCCTGTATTTAACTTAAGCAAAAGTTCCTATGTGTTTGTCTGTGTGATCTACTGATGACAAGGTTATACCTTACCAGTCTAACCTCCAGGAAGTTCAAACAAATTACTGACTTTCAAAATTCTTTCAAAATTGACACAAAAGGCTAAAAACTATTAATTAGAATTAACAAGATATTTCTAAAATTACATTCTAGATCCATGACTCAGGAACTAAAATTAAGTTTGTAAGCAACAGGCAAGGTTTTCCCTTGGCCTCTTTGTCCATCACTCCCTGCCCCCCTCACTGACTCTCACACTCTCTAATCAAAGCCTACAGCCTCACCAGATGACGATGCATCCACCTGGGAGACCACAATTATGAAAAAAACCCCAACAAATTGAAGCAAACACGTCTGTAAAAAAGCAAATCGGAACTAAGGCTTGAAAGCATTGCAGAACTTACTTGCATTGTGCATGGTAATACTTAATAAGGTTCTGGAGAAGGTCCACACCCTTTTTTGTCTTGATTTCATTAACCTTAATAAGATACTGTACAGACAATGAAAAACATGTTGTCAATCACATAGAATCATAGAATCATGGAATGATTTAAGTTGGAAAAGACCTTCAAGATCATCAAGTCCAACCTTTGACCGATCACCACCTTGTCAAATAGACCACAGCATTAAGTGCCATGTCCAGTAATTTCAAGTTCTCACAACCTTCAACAGTTTTCAAACCATAAACCATCATTTGCTCAATGAATTCATCCTCTCTGTTTAACCTGGGCGCTGACTCATAAGCCACAAGTCCATCACTGCTAAGTAAAATACCAAAGGGGAACAGTTCATTTGGCCACTTCTTAAAAATCCAAACACTTCAAAACATAAAACAAATTCAGGAAAAAGTTTTGCCTTTTACAGCTGTCTGAAGATGTCTCCTTTCTAATGCCACTGCAGTAATTACTGGAATATTCTAAAAATACAAAAACTGCACTTCAAAGTAATCAGCACTAAAATGTAATAAAAAGAAATATTAATATAAAAAAGTGGGTTTATGGAACTATCATTTATCACTTTCATAGAAATTTTAGAAGGCTTCAGAAAGCATGTTGGAAGAAAGATATCAAAAATACTTCCTGAACTGCTCAGCCATAAACCCGATAACATAAGAAATATTTCCGCAGTGTATTTTCAGCCCAAAAACCTTTCCATAATAAACTAAGAACAAAGAAAAGGAATAAAACCAAAGGAAGCCAAGTTTTGTACAAGAATTGCTAAAACAATCATCTTTATAGAGCTGTACTATGTGACATTTCAATAGTTTCCTCTCTCCACCCCCATCAAACCATGAAGCAATTTCACCACTTTTAAGTAATGCCCACAAGGTACTTTTTAAGTTATGGTGTCGTAACTAAAAACCGAAACTTGTTTCTTACCTCACACATCTGTAGCTGAAAGAGTCGTCTTTCCTTCTCCATCTCCTCTGCTATCTCAGCTCCTGTTATTTCAGTTCTTATCATCCCATGCTGTTTTGCATGTTCTCTTTTTTCCTTTTCAATCTTTGTACTGAAATTTGAATTGGAAAATATTTAGAGAATTCCCTCTACTATAATGTGATCTAATATTATGTAGGGAGAAAACAACAATTAGGAAGTATTAAAGAAGCCATTCTGAAGATTAATTCCTCTATGGTACCAAATCTTATATATTTTAAGTCTCCAGATGTAACTGAGTCATGAAACTGTCCTTCCTTCATTTCATCCTTCAGCTCTTTTCTCTAGTTTGTGTTCCACTAACAGTTCTGTAACTACAATATTACTGGTTTCCAACCTTGTAATTCTGTAAATCATTCCTTACCCACATAAAATATGAAACAGAGAAAAAAAAAATTTTTT